TCCTTACCACGAGGCCAGTTACCACCATTTGGTACTTCTCTACAGTGCTCATAGATAAGGGGAGACCTGCTGGAGGGCGCCTCAGCCCCAGAGGGAAACACCCCTCATAATTCCTTCTACAAAATCGCTCCGCTGCTAAAGACTACAGATCCGCAATTAGCGTTTTAAGCGCTTCAAGAGGATATATGTCTCATCTGGATTGGTGCTTCCGATCAAGTATCCTCTCCTTGTAAGCTTTTGAATGGTATACAAACTGCTGGTGCACAAAGCTTTCCCAGTCCAAAAAAGTCTTGCTCCGGCGACCCATAGAAAGCCGGAGCGGAGTGGAGGAACTTAGTATTGAATACCTCCACTTCTCTTTTGAAAAGCCACAAGTTTTTTTCACCCAACAACCTAAATACCTTTAGAAAGCTTACGAAACAGGGATTCGACGTAGACCGTCGCTTTCCTTTAACTCCGCTCTACTCGGAGATACATGGCATTCCAACTAAAAACATGTGAGCTTTGTGAAGAAGTTTTCACGCAAAGAGTGACTGAAAATGCCCAGTTGTCTAACCTTTTTACAGCGCAAGACTTCGCCGGTAAACTTAAACCGTCCTTTTTTATCTTTGTCTTTTCATTCATAAATTAAGCGACATGTGATTGCATAAAATTAGCTAATGTTAGAACTAGATATGATTTTTTATATCTAATTTTACAGGAAAGCTGAAAAGAAAAGAGACGGTTTACGTCGATTTTGTATGCTCCAAGCTTTCGAATGGTATATCGACTAATGAAACATAAACTTTCCTGAGTCAAAAAAGTCTCTGCTGGATGACCTTCCAAAGCCTAAGTATTGAGGAAATTTTTATATTACAACTCTGTACCACTTATTTTCCTTCTTTTCACTCCCGCTCCAGTTAGACATGTAAACTTCACCTCAAGGCCCAATTACCCCCTTCACTTTTCTAGGTCACAAATAGTCAAAACTCCTTCACCTGTAGGGGACCCTGCTCCTCCTATCGCAATGATGAGTGAGTGGAGGCAATGTGATAGTGGGAATCCACCTAAGCAATATCTGGAGTTAAAAGGAAAAAAGATTTACTAAGTCTAAAATTCGCTCCGTGGCCGGATCTCGCCTTCGCCGCAGATGTCGCCTAGCTAGTAAACTGCGCTAACGTGCGCCTATGTGACTCATGACCATAAGGTCCCACTACGTCTCTGCGTCATAACCTTAACGGGCTTCGCGCGCCCCACATTCATCAAATTTGGAGGCTTCGGGGAATTTCCACTGCAACATTTTCGCACTTTTCAAACAACATACTAAAATCAGGTGAATCGGAAGCACGAATAAGTGGTTTTTCTACGTGGGAATATCGAAGAAGAGACTGTGTATGACGAACGCGTTCTTGAAAGCGCCATTGCCAGATACGACTGGAAGAACGCGATGATTCGTTAGGCGAATAACACCAAGAAACTTCTACAAAAAAGGAGAAGCCTGCACGCAGATCAGTACGCCACACCTGGAGCAAGTGTTGTTCAACAGCACTTGCACAAAAGCCGTGCAAGAGGATGTGAAACGATATAGACAGATGAAGTTACTCGAAGCAGCACAGAACAGCAGTCTGAAAAGATGTCGAAGAGATCTACGCGAGCATAAACTACCGACACAAGCTCTACTGAGTAAAGTTGGAAGATTAGAAAACTCCCGGAGCGAAATGGAAGCGATAATGGAAGATTTCAACAACGAAATCTTTCTGTCCACAACGCCAGTACCGGATCCTACCAGTCCCACTGGAAAACAACCGTCATTCCCTCTTTCAAAAGTACGCGCAGCCATAGCCTTAAAACCAGGCACAGCGGGTAGAGGAACGAACGCCTCAATTAGGCAAAGCCTCCGCGGGCTGCTGGTCCTTTCGTCCCACTGTTGTGCATCGTGTTGGAACCAGTGGTCCGCGGAGGCGGTGCCTAATTGAGGTGTTCGTTCCTCCACCCGGCACAGCTCTTCCAAGGATGGAATCACTGGCAATTTATTGACAGCCGGCGGTCACAAGCTACACAGTCTACTGGCAACTTATAGATAGATTATCTGAAGAAGGAAAGGATACCCAACCAGTAGACGTGTCGAACGATTCTCCTCCTACACAAGAAAGGCGGGAGAGAAGACATAAAGAATTACTGACCGATCAGTTTGTTAAGTGTGCTTTACAGGCTGTTCACAAAGATCACCGTGTCGCGTATCTCGACGACGTTGGACGAAGCACAACCATCTGAACAAGCCGGATTCCGTAAAGGATTCAGCTGCATCGATCATATGCAAACTGTCACAAGGCTCTGAGGTCTGTCGGGAATACCAACTGCCTCTAGTCCTCACCTTTGTAGAAACAGCTATCGACCAAGGGGTGGATCCTGCTTACATAAGAACAATAGCGGACTGCAGCTGTTCGATCACCCGCTCCTCCCTCAAGTTGACACCTTGTCGCCAAAGCTGTTCATTGACGCACTGCAATGGTGCATGCAGTCACTCAGTTGGGATGAGAAGGGAATACGAATTGATGGACGATACCTTTCGAGTCTCTTTTTTTAGCAGACGATATGGTTCTATTCTCGAAATCTCCTAGCGAAGGCAGAGATGTTGAACGAGCTTAATGAAGGCGAGAGAAGGACAAAGCTCAGGATTGGACGAAAACGCAGTCATGAGGAACAACTGGTGCAGTGAAGGCCAGTTAAACTTATATGGATCACCGGTGTTGAGACCACATCCTACGTTTACCTAGGGTGCACCGTCAACATGAATAATGATATAAAGGGCAAACTTAGCAGAAGACAAAGAGGGGGATTGGCAGCATTCAAACCATTGAGAGAGGCTACAGACCATCTTGCTGACTCGGAGCTACGTGCTCAGCTTTTTGATGCTACACTTCTTCCAGCCTGTGTTACGCAGCCGAAACCTGGGCTGACATTTCAGCAACTACGAAGATGCCACAAACAGCAGCGCTCCAGAGAAGCTTTTGGAGATAACGAAGTTTGAACAGTATAGACTTGGGATTCGGAGCTCTGACCTCAAGCACTTTTTCGTTTACAAGATCCAGCAGAGTACCTATCGAGGAACAAGCATAGATAGGCCGGACATATAATGAGAAGAGAAGATGATAGATGGACAAAAAGAACAGAGTGAATTCTAAGAGCTTATAAACGTCCACATGGTAGATCACAGGTGAGATGATGCGACATATCTGTTGACCGCGCAAGGCCTCGAGCAGAGTTCACGCGATTTGATCGTCGCGATTGATCGCGACAAGACAACTGTAACAATATCATTGATTGCATGCCCATCTTCTTGCATTTCTGTTGTGATAGTTTCCAACACGACTAATCGTTGACTAACTATCACAACCGAATATAAGAAGATAGGCATGCAATGAACTGAACTGAAATGAACTCATAACACTCGTCTTGTAGCGATTGAATTGCAACGATCAAATCGCGTGAACTCTATCCAAGGCCTAAAGGGCGGACATACTTCCACGCGATTCGGCAATATTCCAACTGTTCATAACTTACTGTAAGCACATTTTGAATGTACAGAAGTTGAGGCATTTTATCAGTCAGCGTAAGTCACACACATTACGCATGTGCCATTTGCTAGTTTTGGATAAAGACTCTGGCAAATTGCCAAATCGCGTCGCTGAAATCGCGTGAAGTATGTTTGGCCTTTAAAGCACCTGCTTCAGTAGTAACATTAGGATCAACCAGCAATCGCAGACACGTAACAAGGCGTTCTGGATGACGACTGCCCAGAACCGGAATGGTCAAAAGTTGGGGCCCGCACGACGAGCGAGGACGGACTGTCTAAATAATCTAAGTAAGTAATGTCGAGATGCTGCCTTTAAGTTTTTTGCGATGTAGGCTAATTCTCACATAATCAACGAATACATTTTTAGAAGTTCGGGCGACATTTATACTATTCTTCCTTGAGTTGAAGATTTAAAGTTGGGTTATATACAACCGGTTATTGCACATTAATTTTTTGTAACTTTCTCTTTGGATTACAAATCTAGTTTCTGCGTATTCTAATGAGAGTGACTTTCCTTTGAGCGGAACGATATAGTTTCAGCCACTGCTGCTAACTCAGACCGGTATGCTATTTGCACAAAATGCAAATTTCAGACTTAGGGAGGATACCAAATTGCGCTGGCAAATGGGAAAGAATTGCATTGTTTCCTCCACGACTGCTGCTACCCCTGCTCTGCGACTCTGACCTGCGGCACGCATATCCAACATGTTGGAACATGAAAACATATCAACATGCACCACTGTGTTAGCAAGATTTCTGAACTCCCAGCCTTGATGTAAGGCCCAAGGCTTTAGGCATACCTCGTGGTGACACCGTCGTCACAATTTTTGATCGTTGCGAATCGGCCGCCTAGGCGACGGATCATTGCGTGGAAATCGCTTATCGCTCGCTCACAGGCCATACCGTCTTGCGAATGTGTGAACGCTCTCACGTCACAACCTACATAACGCACAAATGTCGCTATTTTCCGTCGTCTTGCCCAACACCGATTTTTGTATTTGACATCTGCCTAACTCGTATCCTTCCCCCGTTTTTTTTGAACCATACTCAGCTTCTTCACTTTCAGAGTGCTTTAGCACAGAGCCGTCGCGTGAAGTTGCATCGAGTCAAAGCTCACAATGGAAAAGAAAGTGGTAAGCACTTCTTCTAAGTTGATAGCTTCATCAACTTTGCTGATTTCCATTTAGACGAAGGATGGTCTAAGCGACACGAAAAAAGTTTTCTGATAGATGCGGTTTCGAAACGAGGTTGTGTGTGGGACAGCCAAAACTTCAACTATAAAAACCTGCATGCTCGCACAGCGGTTTGGAGAAGCGTGTCACAAGAAATGGATGCCCAGTACAAAAAAAAATTACGATCGTCAGTTTGTTATTATTAAGTTTTTTTGCTCTCAAGAATCTCTTTTCTTTCAGATAAAGTCGCAAGACGTTCAAGAATGTCAGGGATGTGTTTACAAGAAAAGAAGGGAAGTTTAGGATATGCTAAAGAAAAAAGTGGTGCACCCGCTGGAGTGATTGAACGTATAACATCATGGCCATTCTACACTCTCCTACTATTTCTTGACAACGAGGCCGACAGTGGGTGGGTACAATCACATATTTTATCTTATTTCATAACTTTTTCTTTTTAGCGAGCGATTTTGTACCGTCGTTGAGAATAACGTGGAGCAGGAGTATGAAGAAGACATAGATGAAGAGGACATCATCGAAAAAATGTTGTTCCGTTGCCAGCTGGGATATCAATTTCCACAATTCCTTTTGGTCGTCCAACTTACTTAGGCACCTGCAAGTCAACTTCGTTTATAAAACCACTTGGCGCTTTGGCAAGCCAAAAGAATGTCAAAAGAACTGTAAGTTTGATTGAGAATAGGAAGATGTCTTTTGAAGTGTACTTATAGCAAGGGATAATATCGCTACGATGTTGAAGACGGCGTGCGAGATAATGGACAAATTTGAGGCGTTGGGTAGGTTAATACAATATAATAAACACGACATAGTAAGACTGCAGGGCAGTTAATATCGGCAAAGCTTCGCGAGTTAGAATCACTCGATGCACATGCCGTCATGGAAGCAACTATGAAAGCCGAGGAACTGACTGCAACTGCAACTTTCAAGCGCCATTTTTGCTGCTAAAAACCGCAAATAGGTTCTTTGCACATTGTTCTTTTTTTACTTTGCACGAGTATAAATCTTGCCTCTTTGCTTACCGGTCCTATTAGCTACAATTATGAATATTTGTGTCGACTATGTTTTTGTAATGCTTTTTTGCACGGCCCTAGCCCTGCTCTATGCCTCTGAAGTCTTCCGTTATTAAAGCTCAAAGAATCTGTTTGCATGTGTGTTTTCGATATTGTTTATGCTGTTCTTTGTTATATTCTTGTTACGAAGTGGAATGAAGCTGTTTGCACTTCCTTGCTCCTTCTAGTTGCAAATATATCAAAACTCGTAGCCCGCAGTGTTTCTGTACGTAGTGTTTGAAGCCAGACATAGCAAACACAAAATTTCTTGCATGATATAGCATAGACTGCTACGCTTTCCTTAACCGTCAAGCAGCTCCACGCCATCAAACGAACTTTGACACTGTTGTCGTTGAGTGATTGAAGAATAGAAACGTTTGGAGGTTTCAAAACGAAAAGAGAAGAACCGAAGGCTTGCCGAAACTGAAATGGAACTATCCGCCGAAAAACTTGAGGTAAACATTCAGTTTTATACTTCTTTTGCTGTTTTTGGTTTATGTTTTTGTTGAAAGGTCTCACAATTTACATGCTATCAAAGATAGGTTCCATCGAATTTCACTGTTTGATTTCAAAATACTACACATGACAGGCATTGCCGTTGTGCTTTTTTTTGTTGTACGTGAAGAAACCTTACTCCTTTTATAGGACCTCTTCAAGCCAAACAAAAGCAGTTCGCTGAACTTCTTTTGGTCAAAAAAGAACTGGTCATTTTTTCTGGGTTATTTACATCACTAGGTGCAACTATGCGCATGCTCAATGCTTATAAGTTGTGCATAAACATTTACAGATGGGAGGGCACTGTCTTCTCGCATGTTCTGTTCTGCTTCGTCCTTGTAGTCGTCGTCATTGTATGGAGACCTTGGATCAATAACCAGCGTTATGCCTATTCCTCTTCAGGGTGATGGTGCAGCTGAAAATAACCAAGGTTTGTTTTGTTTATCTCTTATCCGCTGCTTTGTCATGCTCATTTCTCAACTTATTCAGACGAGGTTTTTCAACATATTCACGTTTGGTTTTCAGATGCTGCGCGATTATGGCAGCGGAGCAGATGTGCGGCGTCAAAAAGAGAAGGATCGTGAATATTTCGAAAGAACTTTTATACTTAATTCCTTTCAAACCACGTCGTCGTCCAAATCATGTTCTTTTTTGAGATGGCTGTGTCTAGCTACGGTGACCTTTCAACTTGTGTCACCATTTAGTTAGTTTGATAAGAGGTCTTTCTTTCTTGTTTTAGCATAGAGCAATGTTTTGAATAAGGCTCTAACATGTCTACTCTGTCCATAAAAAAACATCCATACGACTATGACCTAAATGTAAATCTGTTACAAGTGCACACCTTGCGAGTTGAGACTTGACAAAGATTAACTTCTGACCCGGAAAAGCTTGACTACCAACTAAGCACTTAAGAAACATCTTCACAGTTACTCAAGATTATTATAGACCCACTTGAGAAAAGCTGTGACTCTCAGTTTTCATATTTTCGTTATCAAATGGCAGCGAAGTACACAGTTAAGGATAGCAGATGAACATAGAACTTATAAGTGATCCCATTGGGAAATTCAAAATAGCTCAGATGTGGAGGAGAAGAAAAACAAAGGGGGATGGTGAAGCAAAATGAAATCAAGTTTACATTTCGCATAGCGACATGAGTGTTGTTCATCGATTTAGCCAACGTAATTCAAGTGAGTACATAGAGGTAAAGGGTTAGTTTTAATCGTCTTGCCCGTCACGATCGGCAAGGTATTCAGCGAGCCTCTGCCTTTGAGAGTGAGCGTCATCTTGTACTTGAACTCGACTCGAACGAGTGACTGCTTATATCTGATGCAGTAGAGTTTGAGTACCTTGCTAGCAGTTCGTCGCGTGATATTCTTCTCGCGAGAAGATTGTGCAGTATCTAAACAATTTTATCGAACACTGCATATCATTAGAACTACAAGATAACTTAAGCGAGAAGCGATAATTATGAGTTTCATGTAATCAGGCGAATCCTGTAATGGTCCTTGAAATACGCGAAAACGGGCTGTCAATATTCCGAAGACGCTCTCAATGACTCGGCGAGACCTCAGTATACTAAAATGTTGACACGAGGAAGTAAAACCGTATGGAAACTTACGAACTAAAACATTCATTAAAATGAGCCTTCTTCAAATCCCTGAATGCTTCCATTTGCAACTATGGTCGCTGCATCCACGCACTCTGGGAGAAACCCCCATCGGCGAGTATATGGTATTCCACTATGCCGTGACGACCAAAAGGTGCCGGAGTGAAAAGTTTCTTCTTGGCTTCTTCAAAAGATTTTTGATGGGCGACGTACGGAGAAGCCTAAAAAGGTCGAAGAAGAATTCCCATTCAGGTACGTCATACCGGAGTCTGATATGCGACCCTTTCCGCCGCAATCGACTATGAGCATGTGATAGGTACTGTCCACCACAGCCAGAAGATTAAAAAGAAACCTTTGTAAGTGTATGAGCGCTGCCGCTGTTCATCAGGGCCTGCTCAAACTTTCGGTTTACTATTTGGCTGACAGTTGTGTTTACTCACCACATATCTAAAGTGTTTGCCGTCTATAGCGCCGACGGCGCGGGGTGGTTCCAAACGGCGAAAAACCCTTCTGCGCTTTCCATCCAGGTTGCAGCAGTAGGATTAGAGAATGCTTTTTGCCAAAACTCTGAAAAAAGAACTTGCTCCAAAATTAACTTCGGAAGAATGAAAGGAAGGGTACCTGCTATAAATTGCTCTACATACTTCGCATACGATTGCTGTGACTGTTGATCTTCCAAGTCGAAACTCGTGTTCCAAACTATGAAAACTTCTTTAGTAACCCAGATATCTGAAGTCATCTATGAGTTCGCTGGTGGCACAGATAGAATACCAACCTCAAGCATATAGCCAGAAGGTGGACCATATCCATTGGGAATCTATGCGACTGCATATGTGAAAGCCGTTCTTTCAGACGGCCGTGAAGCTCTTCAAACTAGCTGAACTTCAACCGGGTGTACTCGTGTAACATCGGTTCATCACGATCCTCCATATATCCGTCGAATGCCATGAAGCGCATTTGCACGTGAGCAGCATGGGTTTCGTTCATATACACACTTCGCGGGCCCTTGTCCAATTCACGCGCGAGCACGAGAGCAATGGATATATGTGTGGACAGAACTTCCGCCTGGCAAAGAGCAGTGAATACAAGGACAGCCAGATAACATACCTGCATTGTTTGCAAAACTTAATCCGCATCGTCCTTGTGATGATTATGGGGAGCATCAAACCGCGAATAGTATCAGATTCTTCGTGTAATTCCCTGATTTCTGCAGGCGATTTGATGGAGACGAACGTGGACACATGGCTTCCCTGCACATGTAAAGAAGGAAACGGATGCGATAGTGGAAACGCTAACCGACCTATGCTTCGATGCAATAGGGAAAGCTAACGTTGTTGAGTGATAAGAGTTAAAGTTAGGAGTAATTTTCCTGATTAACTTGAGTATAACAAAATTACAACTTCACTTTCTTTCGTATGAGAGAGTTTGAAGGAGACAAATGATGAAGAAGCACTATGAAAAAAGAAAAGGCGCTATCTGTGGATGATCACGACCAAAATGCAGAACAAAGTTGCGAAATCTCCACAAAGAAAAAGGGTAGCAGGGGTAGCAGCGATGGTGGAGGGGACGATACAAAAGCTACGCGCCTATGCCTCTAGCCTATGCCGCGCCTTAGGGAGTCTCCAGACCGCGCCGCGACCGCGCCGCGACCGCGCCGTTTGTCGCTTTTGCAGCCGGTAGCTGCTTTCGCGCCGGTTGCCGCTATTGCAGCTGGAGCGCATTGTGTCAGATTTTGTCCGTAGAGCGTAGCGAAAGCCATTGGCACTAGATACTAGGCTTCTCGACCCCTTTTTCATCACTCTTTTGTTTCCAAAGTTCTCTTCTTTGCTGTAGTAATTGCAGATATGGTTCATTTGATCTGGATTCCGTTTTTCGGTCGTCTACAATACTGAAAAAAATCGATTCATTGTCGAGTGAAACCTTTCAGTCTAAATCCCGCTGTAGAACTATTGCAAGGCAAGGTTTTTTCGACGTCTTTCTCGTTTTGAAACTGGTTTACTATGCTGGATGAGTGAGTTGCAAATGTACTTTCTTTGTTTTTGAATCTGCTCCATCATGCCGTATCAGCGATTTAGCTGCAGAACTCAAATTTTCTGTTCTATTTTTGCTTTTGGTACTTCACTACGCTGACTAACGATCCATTCCAATACGGAGTCATTTGGTGCCTTCTCCTTCTCCATTCACGGTATATACCGTTTATTTCAGCACAGTAAAATAGCTACCTTGAGTAGTTAAACGAAACTTAGTAAGTGTACCTTCAAGCGGTATAGTAGAGTAGCTTCAAAATTAGAGAGTGCAAAAAAAGCGTTTTGCGACGATATCGTCCACTCAGCATAGTAGACCAGCCTCAAATCGGAAAAGACATCGAGAAGCCTCGCCTGCGCACCACAGCAGAGCAATATCATCAAAACGAAAGCTGCGCAAAAAAACAACGTTTCGCA